TGGGAAGTATTTACCGAGTACCTACTGTGTGCAAAGAACTGAGTGGGAAATGGTGAAAAATGATTCAGTTTCCTGCCCTAAGAAGCCGGGACTCTAGTGATGGCGAAGGAGCTTAACACCTCTCAGGGTCACCTAATTCCAAACATGACCTGTGACTCCTAAGAACTCAGACCTTAACAGAGTTTAGGAATTCAGATGGGGGAAGTCGCTTCTCCCTGGGGCTTAGAGACAGCTTCCTGAGTATAGAAACTGCTCAGCGAGGTCGTGGAGCGTGGGCAGAATTTTAATTAGCAGACCGACCAGGAGATAGAGACTACTACGGCGCTACTGGGCGAAGGGGCAGAGATGGGCAAAGCTGGATGCTCAAACATGTCTATCCCTCAATATTCCCATTTACAAAGGAAGAAACTGGCATTTCCAAGGTGAAGCGATTTGCCAAAGGTCCTTTGGAGCCAGGATTGCGCGACCGCAGAAGATCTGCTTCTCCATGACCCTGCCTCTCGCCGGTCTCCTGGATGCCTCCAGGTTAAACGTGCTGCTCCATCAATACACTCTGAAATCTCCAGGGTAAACTCTGCCTCCATAAATTCTCCAAGGGACTCCATGATTTAGAAGCCAGGAGACCAGCCCCATATCTTTGTCTGTCCTGCAACACGGCCTTCCAGAAAGCAGTTCCCTGGGCATTCTAGAGACCCGAGCAAGGCTCAGCCCCTTCTCAGAATTCTGAATGCCTCACTCAGTCCTGGAGGCATAACCCAACAATGAGGGGTGTTTGCTTATAGGAACATCTCAGCCTAGGTGGTCTTGGCCTAGAGTCAGCTTCCCTAAACTCTCCTGCCCTCCCACCCCCACAACCAGCAATTGCACCTGCATGATGCTCCTTTAGTTGTCCCAACCCCCTAACCCAACTCGCTCAGCCATTCAAACCCAGGAGCAGGGTCCTTGGTATGAGAAGCACAAATAAAACTGTCAAGAGTCCGAAACTGCCTGGGACTGGATGCAGAAGCTGAGTCCCAGAAGCACGGCTTTACCAGTTTTTAATTAAAGACTCACAAAGATCCCAAACAGAGAGAAGGCTGGAGAGTGAACTTGGATGTTTTTATTCAGAGGCAGAGCTCTTCAATTACTTGAGATTTCTCTGCCTTCAGGGACCTTTCCCTGAGCTTCCCAGTTGGGCTAGGTGCACTCCTTTGCAGCACTAATCATGCAAAGTCCTTGGTGTATTTTAACGACATGTATGTATTTCCAAATTATATTTTCAAAGCATTCAGGGCTTTAGTTTAGCAGGCTGTGTAGTTTTCAGGACCAGGCAGGAAGCAGAGGCCAGCTGGAGATTGAAGCAAGGGATCAGGGTCTCAGAGCCGAGGACTTTGGTCTTAGTTACTTGGACAGGGCTGGAAGAACATTCCAGATTCAAGCTGTTTAGACTCTCAAAGGTACTGCCTCCTTCCAGTGTGGCCTTACTCTGGGCATATGGAAGCTCCAAACAACACAGCCATAAACTGAATAGTAATCTAAAATTTGCTGACCACTTATTATGCAGCAGACACTCTGCTAAGTGTCTGACTTGCATTATCCCTGAAATGCACACAACTCAACAGCTATTTTAAGATAGTAACTACTACTGTCCCTGTTTTACAGTTGAGGAAAACAAGGCTTAGTCACACAACTAGTGAGTGGTGCAGCCTGGGTTTGAACCCAGCAGGCGGGGGGGGGGGACTGATAGCTGGGTTGAAAACCCCAACCACTCTCTTCTGACTGCATCTAATTAGATCTGAGCCCAGCCTTGCAGAGATCACAGCAGCAGCTCCAGTGAGAGCATCAGCAATCAAACCGTAGAATTTGAGAACCAAGTGGAGCCTAAGAAAATGTCTACTGTAACTTCTTCTTTTTAAAGAAAACAAGGCATGGACTGGGACAGCGACCTGGCCACCAGCCCTTCTGTCTTGCTCAGTGGAATGCCAATCAGCAGAAGACCCATGCAAGGGAGGCAGCTTGGAAGTCAGGGTCTCCTCTGATTAGCATTCCACTAATCGAGAGTGAGAAAAGACTCTGCAGGGCAGCTGCCCGGGGAGGCGAGCAGCTGCGCTCCTGAACACTTCAAGCCAGTGTTTCAGGCTTCTGTGCAGGAAGTGCCCAACACCCAGGACTCGGACAGTGGCTCTGGACCTACTAGGATCTCTGTTGTAAGGGTTAAGTGAGCAGGCAGATAACACACCTAGCAGTGTGCCAGGCACACAGTAGGGGCACAATGAATGCTGGTATCCCCCTTTTCTTTCTTGGGATTCTGGAGAGAGAAGCAGAGAGCTTTGGCTTCTGAGAGTCCTGCAGGAATTGATTCAGGGTGACCTGGAGTTTCAGGTAGCACAAAGGAATGGTGGATGGTAATGTCTGAGGTCTTGCTGTCCCCAGTCCTATTAAAGGAGCTAGCTCCATGTCTGTCTGTCACTCTATCCTCTCATCCTTGTAAGCATCTCCTATGAGTCTCTGGTGACTGTGGCCAACACAGTGTACGAGGCAGGGTCCTCTCTCCCTCCACTTCCCACACCTCTAGTTCACCTCTGCAACACAGCATCCCACCTATTAGATGGATAAGAAAACTGAGCTTCGGGAGGTGAGGGGACTTGCTGAAGGTCACAGAGGAAAGGCACAATGAAGCTGGTTACACCAGACGTCACTGGACTCTAGAGCCCGAGATTGTTCTGTGACCCCTAACTGTCTCTTAACGGAGTGCAGGTGTTGAAAGTTCTTTTAAAACAACCCCCCAAATTTCCTGTCTCCACAGTCTTCTGATCTCTAGGACCTCATGGTAGTGAGATAGGGGAAGGAGTCCTGGCTTTGGTGCTAAACATTGTCCCCAATCAAGCAACATCCCAGGACCTGTGAGAGGCGGGGCTCTGGAGGTCAAAGTCCCCTGCCAAGGCTTGCAGATGGACCTGTCCTGCTTAGGACTAAGCAAAGGGCAACCAGTCCCTCCCTGACACCAGGATGTGGGACTCAGCTTGTGAATGGGCCAAAGCCTCTTCTTGTGTCCTGGCCTGAAAATTCTGTCCCGGTCTCATCACCTGGGGTCTGCACCCAAGAACTCTTTCTTTGGTGCTCAGCCAGCCTGATATTTCTGGGGACCGGACCAGGATCCTGGACCCCTTCTTCCCAAGGCCTTCAAGGACAGTCTACTCCTGGGGAGCTCTTTGGTTCCAATCAAGGTGAGATGACCCAAGTCCTAAGAGTAGACTCATTGTCTTCCAGGGCCACCACTGCCCTGGTAGCCTTCTGAGCACTGGCCAGCACAAGGGATATGCGCGTATCCCCCACCTGTAACCAGATCTGGCTCCAAAAGCAGAACTTGAATGTTTCAGTGTCAGGTTCCTTAAAATCCTTCCACTACTCACAACAGCATGTGAACATTAATCAAAACCAAACCCGTCGTTCTCTTTTCCTAATTGTTTCCAGGTTCTACATCCCAACAAGCAACTTTCCAACTGCTGGCTAGGAGGCCTGCACAGGCACCATGGCCCCCACTTCACATGGACCCCTTGACAAGTCACTGGCAACATGGCCCAGCTTAGCTGGGAACACACAGCTGCAGGCTGTAGGCAGGAGGGACTCCAGTGTATTATGCCTCTTAAACCTTAACGGAAACTCCCCTCTCAGCCCCCTTTGACAGTGCCCTGTGATCCCGGACCTTGACAGCTCGCCCATGAGATGCCCTTGCTCCTACTGACTCCTGAGCCACCAGGACAGGAGCCCTGGGAATTTCACCACCTGGCAGCAGCTGATTCCTTTTGGCTTGCAGAGGTTTTTTTTTTTTTTTTTTTTTGAGGGGGTGGGCAAGCAGGGCCCCCTCTCCCTGGTTGGGAGACTAGCAGGTTTGCACCTGGTATGGTCAGGGGAGCAGTGGGTGAGTGTGAGCACCCTTGTTGGATGGCGCCGGTGCCATCCGTCATGGGAGCAGAAGAGCTTCCCAACATTTTCATCTGAGAATCCAGTCACCTCCACCTGTGAATCTGCTCCTGGTGATTTCCCCCAGAGGAGGGTCGGCCCCTGGTGCCCCAAAGGGGTCCAGTTGCCTCTGGATCCAGCACCCACTCTGGCTCCCTCCTCTGGGTGCTCACACCAACCCTCCTTACTCCTTTGGATCTAAGAACCTGTTTGGGCTCCTTGTGGAGATGGGGGCCCAGACTCAGGGAGGCAGATGGCGACCCCAGCTCAGCACCCAGAACCCCCAAACCCAGCCAGGGGAACAAAAGGAAAAAGGACTGCTTACCTTTAGAGGGTCGCCTTTGTTTGGTTTGCAGAGATGAGAAGGTGCCCATGACGGCCCCCATGGCAGCGAAGACTTGAGTGCGACTTGGGACCCCGGGGCCCTGCCCTCCCCTCCCCTGAAAGGAAACCAGTGTGTCTTCTCTACTCCGAATTGGAGGAGAAAAAAAGGAGGAAGCCGGGAGCCCCGGCAGCTCGCCTGCAGCCTGGAACGCAGCGAGCGTGGGGCTGGGGCTCAGGGAGGCGGCTGGCTTCCCTCTCAGCCCCGCACATGCACTGACTCACAGGGCCGGCGGCTCGGGTGAGCCTTCGCCACGGCTCCCGGGAGCGAGGACGCAGCCGGTGGTTCCCTCGCCAAGGGCCGAGGACGGAGCCCCGGAGTCTGCCTGGCGCTGGACACCGGGCCGGCGCCCGCCCGTCACTCTATCCTCTCATCCTTGTAAGCATCTCC